TAGTTTATTACTATATATATATATATATATATATATATATATGTTTCAGTTCATGAAATTTGGAGCAGGATAACGATGAAAAGTGTCATACCTCGAATTTAAGTAGAAAGATATTAGGATCGTTGGAATCCTGCCACAATGCGGTGATGTCCAGCTCGCCGGTCAGCCTGAAGCCGACATCACCTCCGGATTTCGATGGTGCAGCCTCTCTGAAGATAAGCGTGTTCATCAGATTGTATCTGTGCCCGTTTCCTATCTCCCAGCCCTTGGTGCCACCAGCAACTGCTGCAAGTATCACACATAATTTCCAGCAAGTGCTCATCGTCGCGCAGGAAGTTATCGTGAGCTTTAATGAGGTAGATGCGTTGTGTGTGTCACATGTGTGTATGTGTGTGCGAACCGAATGCGCTCGACGACGTCACCGATCGCGAGTCGTACGCCGACTGACAACGACGCATCAGACAGACGACGAGGATCGCTCCTCTCTCGAGACAGTAGAGGAGAGAGCCCACGACAGGCACGTGTGCGTGCGCGTGCGTGTGTGTGTGTACGTGTGTCCCATATGTATGCGTGCTTAAACGGAATGCCGTTAATTCGCGCGAAGTCCCTGTTACACGACAGTCCCTGTTACACGACGGGCGAGAATGGGGCGTCACGTGTGTGAGAACCTTTTCTTTTCTTTTTTTTTTAATCTGATCTTGTTGCGTGAAATGATTCGACAAATTTTTACTAGCCCTGAGAACCGACGCTTTCCACTCTTTTAAATTAATCGACTCGATGGTGAGAATAATTACCTGGTGCCATTCGACAGTACGAACCTGCAAAAGAAAGATTCCGTCTTGAATCTCTCGAATCGAGAAATGAGGATTATTGTATTCGATAAAATACACAATATATCAGCTAAGGGTAACATCTTTCTTGGTAGAAAAAAAAAAAAAAATTAATGAAAAGCATACTGTAGAATAAATTTTTTCGCTGTAAAGTAAATTTTTTTTCGCGATAATATCTCACGTATCTATTTGTCTATCAAGACACGTGCTTGTATATAGACTTAAGAGATCTTTACACAGGATTATACAATTTGCTGATACCATTTGTTAGTTTTACTTATCGTGTCTCGACAATGTACCCACCGCGCGCGAATGTACACTGATATGTGTAACTTTTCTATTATTCCGTTCCGACTAATTTTTTTTTTTTTTTTTTTTTTTCCTTTCTTTTCACGGAGGACCATATTTACCACAAATTTAACACAAAGTCAAACGTGCTACTTTTATATGTAAACTTCTCTTCCTTTAAAACAACAACAAATGATTATTCACATGTTTAGCTTGCCTTTCCACGAGGAGTCGCACTTCGGGATCTATCGAGGCATCGTACTTCAATGAGCCACCATGTTCCGGCCGGCTCGTACGCGTGCATTTTTCAATGAATGACTTTATGGCGACGGGGGAAGCGAGGGGAACGACCATGGGGGAACGACGGGGAGGGGTGTGAGGGGAGAAGCCCGCTCGGACAGGGTGGGAGCGGACGAGAAAGGCAGGAGGGCTGTAAGAACCGGCGGATAACTCACCGAGGAGCGTCAAAAGGTAGACCAGGCAGACGACGAGCATCCTGGCCGTTTCTCGAAGACGACCGTCCATCCTTTCCTCGATCTCGCTGTCGTCCCACGCTGTGCCGTATCGCGACGTCCGTTTTCGTTCCGCTCCGCTCTTCTTCTCAACCTCTACGAGTAAACACGAATAATTACACGGGGCAGACCTGCGTTATCATGGTCCCCGGTACAGAAACCTCCCTATCCCCCCTCCCCTCCCCATCCTTCGTTCGCGAGCCCACTCTGGGGGGACTAACAGAATCCTTTGCTCGGCTGGGTCTCTCCTCCCCCCCCTCCTTCCCGCACGCACACGCACACGCACACGCACACTCCTGACAGATGTAGAGGAAAACGAATACCACCGATCACTTCAGACTCGGCATACTCGCGCCGCTCTAGGTTGTAAATCACACACGAGCTGCGCGCGGAACGTGTAATAACGCGATCGCCCGATAATACGCCGTTACGGCCCCGATAAAACCGTCGTGTAAGGCCGCGAGATGCGCGCGCGGAGAAAAGGGCCATTACGAGTGCGGAAGCCGGCCAATTTGTCCGATCCGGACTGACGAGTGCGCGTTATACCGAGTGTCCCGGGCTCTCCTTTGGTACTCTTTCTCGCTGACGCATTCGTCGAAGACCAGAAATGTCCTCTGGACTATTCTACTCCCCTCTCCTTTCGCCTCGGATCTATTCGCGTAATTAAATAAGTCAGATGTACGGTCGCTGGATTGAGAATATTTTTTTTTTTTTTTTTTTTTTTACTAGATATTGTAATCAGCCGCGATAAAACGAAGGGGAGAGAAAATTTACTTACTTAGTACCAAGTGGCAAGCACCTGGACTTTGGCAGTATACTTTAATACGCGCTATCGCCAAGTTTCGTTAATCACCGTTTGATAAAATTTTTTCTCTAACTTTTCGAGCGTAGATATAAAGATCAGGTGTGGATTATGGAAACAGGACGGATTTAAATGACAATCCGACGGCACTCGCGACGGTACGTCTGTATTCGAAGGCGAAAATTCATTCCGAAGTGCGAGCTGGTGCGGGCTGGAGCGAGGACTTAAAATAACATTTTGTTGAAAAACAGTCTAACCGGATCGGAGAAGACGAGCAGCAGACGGGCAGATCCGTGTAAACTTGACGCTCACGTACGACGAAATAGCACACACGAGAGCGAGATAATACGCATAATGGATCTACGAGAGGCGACTGTCTGCTAGGTCGAAAGTGACCACGTCGAACGGGGCCGTCATTCCGTTCGAGGCAAACAGCAACAAACGTTCCCTGGAAGTGCTCTTATCAATTAACCGTGGCCTCTGAACCGCGAATGACCTCACCGATATCGTCGTTTCAGCTGATTTCTCGGTCTTTCGTCAACTCACGAAACGAGATACCGATACGATGACAGGGAGAAATATGCCGATTAACTTCCGTTTATGCAAAATAAATGACCTTTGGAAGAAATGGAAAAAATAAACGATATGTGATAAATTAAACGAATGAATGGAGATTTCGTGAATTGCGAGCTGCAACGCAAAAAGCTGGCTGCGCCAGTTGTTTATTCATTTCTTATGGGAATAATTAAAAGTAGGAATAAGATTGATGCGGGATAATTTAGAAATAAATTTGTGAACTTTTTATTTTTGTTATCGAATCAAATATATTTATTAATTAAATATTAATATATTTTTCTTCTTTTTCTATCTCTTTCTGTTGGACACTCATCAAATTTTCTTTAAATCGTGTCTTTCATGTATATGATCGATTTAAAAGTTAAATGAACTTTTGAAGAGAGTATGTGTCGATATATAGGGTGTCCAGTTTAGAATATATCCCTTAAGATGGCACAACAATCTACTTCCTGTAGAATTTCCTATAGAAACGCAATATTTTATTACGATAAAAATAAATTTTTTTATATATTATTCATAATTAAATCTAAAATCAGATTTAATTATCTATATTGAAAAAACTGTATAAAAATAAAATGTTAAATAAACACATTGAACAGTCTGGAAAAAGACGCTAACTAGTGTTCAAAGTGCGAGCCACTTCTCCACTTCAGATCGATAAAATAACATTTGTCGGCAACGAAAATTACGATAATTATACATGTATTACTTTTCTATTACAAAAACGTCAAAAACTTTAACTATAATATGTCAAATAATAATCAAAATTTAAACAGAAAGTCATTATTATTTAGTATATCTTTCTTAATAATCTATTTAGAAAATATTTTTTTATTAATTATATATTATGATATATAATTCTGAATATATATAAATGAATTTTACTAATTATTCAATATAATATAAAGAAACTTAAAATTTATAAAAATTTTAATAACATTATAAATTAATAAAAAATTTATATATTTTTGTTTAATATTCATCTATTGAAACAAATATTCGTGGAAATTGTTATTAAAATAAAAATTTGATAAAGAAACTTTATTACTAATTTCTATAACTATAACTATCACTATATAGATTTTGCAAAAATTTGGCAGCATAAAATTACACTTTCCACTCCGCTTCTATTTGTAATAATCATTTTACAGGCCAGTGATTCTCTCGAAAATGCAAAGCTTTACATTTCGGTTATACATTACAATTTTGTCATAAGTAATTTTCCGAATCCAATGTATGCCATTATTCCATTTATTATTGCATGTTATAATACGCACATAAATAAATAAATTTATTAATTAGCTACTCAAATATACATAAACAAGCTGAAAGGGCGGAAATATCGATAGCGTCGGATAATTAGCTTTTTTTATGCGTTATTTCTTCGGACTAGAGAGTGATTTTTGTAAGAATATCGAAAAACGACAGAAGTGAGAAGAAAAGTGAAAAGTCTCGTGTAATACTTGCACATTTGTACAAATTATTTCAGAAAGAACGGTCGATATTTTACAAACGTCGCGTTATCACGAAAGTATCGTTATAAAGAAGAAATATATAGCAGCTATAAATAAAAATTGAAAGCAAAATAATTTGTTTTATTAACTATCGATTGTATAATATGTAACAAATAACAATAGCCCTCAACTTCCATCATTAACATAACACATCCATTATTAACATAACATATTAAAAAATACTTTGCCAATTTTCTTATTTTGTAAATTTCATTGAAATTAAAATATTATTTCTAAAATTTTATCATATCATAAATTCATCATCCTATCTATCTATATTTTAAAATTAAATTTAACATCTTCTAAAAAAAAAACCCATAAACGTTATATATTTGACAAAATAAGAAATCTTTCCTTATTAAACTTATGACTTCTTCTGATCTTACTTATGTGTTAGCGAAATACATTATAATTATGCGATTTAAAGTATTATTAGGTATCGTGATTTTTGTCGCAGGTGTCGCGAGCTTTTTTTCCTGAAACATCCTGTACAAACTCGCGGAAGTAACTGTTCGGAAGCCGCAACGAACGAACCAACGAACGAACGAACGAACGAACGAGCGAATGAGCGAGCGCGAGCGCGCTAAATAATCATAACTCAGAGAGACATTTGTAACGCCAGCCTCTCGCTCGTATTTATCGCTGTTGTTGGACGGTTTGTTGCAGCAATAACGGTAATGGGCCTCCCCTGCCTCCGGTCTCTCGTACTCCCTCTCTGCACCGCCACCACCATCACCACCGACTCGGTTCCTCTCTTTCTCTCTCGCCTCACCGGCCACCCCTTGCCGAGCGATTTATCCTCGGGTAATTAGCACGGGTAATAATTAATGCGGCCGCGCATTGTGCTAATTATCAGCGAGAGAACCTTTTAAGAAATGAAAGAACATTCGAAATAAAACAGGGCGCCGCGAGGACGGTAAGGGGGGAGGTAAGAGGTGGACACGTCGGTAACGGCAAAGAAGAGCGGCGGGATCGAGGGTGTGAGAGGGTGGAAGAAAACGGACGAAACGGAAAGAAGGAGGAAAAGGAGGAGGAGGAATGAAGAAGGCGGGAACTCTTCGCGACAACTCTGCGCGTGTTTGTACAGGGTGACTCGGTATCGTCGAAACGTCTCTTCCTGATCTCAAATTCTATTGCAAATCTGAAATAGAATAGAGAGAGAAATTCCTCATTCAATACTCCAAGTCCCGGTGGAATCCCGGAAGAGTTTCCGCAGACGTAGATTCTATCCGTAAAATTAATTGAAACATAAAATTTCATTATTCGTCTATTATTCACCGTGAAATTAATTCTTAATTTACGATTTAAGTTTAAAATCCATAGAATGTTTGATTTTCATTTTCAGCTGCCCTCCGCGAATTGTAATGGTCGTTATAAAATTTTTCCCACCGCGGGAGAGGGTGAGCCTGAGCCGTTTGTTATTCCAAGAATTACAAAGGGAGGAAGAGAGGTCCCTCGCGCGGAGGTAAAACCCCCCCAGTGTACAATTCCCTCCGGAATTAACTTGCAATATTAAATAACTATCGATCTCTTTAATGCCCAAAAAAATAATCCGTCTACTTCTTAAATTTCAATATTTGCGCGGTTGAAAGGGTAAGGCTGGGTCACAATCCTGGATCATCCATGCACGCGCGCGCGCGCGCGCGCGTGAGAGAGAGAGAGAGAGAGAGAGAGAGAGAGAGAGAGAGAGAGAGAGAGAGAGAGAGAGAGAGAGAGAGAGAGAGAGAGAGAGAGAGAGAGAGAGAGAGAGAGAGAGAGACGAGAGACGAGAGAGTACGAGACGA